TTTCTTGTAGTACCGTTCTTGAAATACTGACAGATTAACTTCAGTATATTTTTAATCTTATATGGTCGTTTGCAGACAAAAATGTACATTGTATAGCTATAATTAATGAATTTTAGTTAATCTTTTATTCATCTTTAACAACGCAATTATTATTCTGGAGACTAGTTATTGTCCATAGATAACGTTGTAATATGTTATTTTAGATCAGCACTTCAATTCCGGTGTTAGGATGCCTTTTATTTCTTTATTTAAACTAAAAAGGTTCTAAGGCTGATAATGTAAACACTGAATTTTTTTTCTGTTTTACGAAAGATGCACATTTCAGTAATGAAATGTTTCTTGGAAGGAGAAAGCGTCTGAAACAAATCAAAATTCGCGCCTGAGCAGAAGGCAAGAACCGCCGCCTTCTCGTTGAGAAAAGCAATCGAACTCTCAGCCGCTGCGACCTCGTGATTTGTGCACCCAGGCCCAAGCCCCTACAGGGTCAGGTGGGTCCCGACGGAGACAGGATTGTCGACACTAGATAGAGAGATAGGTCGACTTCTGTCGCTGTCTGGAGGAGAATTAGAGCGGCCTACTGCTCTGATTGGTAGTTTGTAGTGATTTCCACCATTAACACCAGATGAATGCCGGAGCAGCACCCTAACAAATGGCCCACGGACCGCAATCGTTCTTTTCTCTTCCTTGCCCTATTCTCACTAACACGCTCTACACTACCACACATGCTGAGAGACCGGCCAAGATCTTATAGCCTGTCCGTGTTGGTGCGGTGCCCCGTTCGTGGGAGATACCTGGATGAGGAAAACCCCGCTAGCCGACGGTAGGTCGGCGCCGGACCTCACCATCCAGCGGGGGAAGATCACCGCTGCCTCCCGAGGAAAGATACGGATTTTAAGCAGCATTTTCCCTCAAGGTCCTTTACAACCGGTCGTTCGCGCAAGTGTGTTCAAATGCGGTCTTTATTCTAATTTTAACGCTTTTATTCGGTATCAAAGGCCTCATAAAAGCAGTAAAAATTCTGTTTTAGTGTTGAAGCCAGAAAATAAACTTTTTGCATGATTTATGTTTGACGTTTTGAACATTATAAAGTAAAATTGTGAAGCACGTCATAATAACCAATTCCGCGAAAAGTCATTGTGAGTTGTGTCAGCTCCAAGCGGTTGTTTTCAATTACGTTTATAATTATTCTATAACATAAAAGTACTTTTTCTAGTAATTTTTACTTTAATGAACCTTTTGTTCAACGAAGAGCTTGAGTAAAAGTTGCTATAGTACACTAGCGAGGCTACGTGTGAGAGTCTGTTTAACCCTCAACTTCCGGCCTCAACTTTCGGATCAATTTGACCCTAAGTCGTTTTTCTCTTTTTATTTTCCCGTAATTTCTTCTGATAACGTTCCTATTCAGAGCGTCCGACGAGAAATGCTTTTGACATGTGTTTCTCTGAATTGCCCCTTCTGAACCGACGCCAATGTTAGTGTTCCTGTGAATTTCTACATGGTGGATGTCAAAAGTGCTGCAGTCGTAACGTTGTTGTTGAACTATCGCTCATTCGGCAAGAAGAAGAAGAAAATGGAGAAGAAAAAAAGAAAATGGAGAAGAAAAAAAGAAAATGGAGAAGAAAAAAAGAAAATGAAGAAGAAGAAGAAGTAAACAAGACAGCAAACATGTAATTTAGACATTTCAAAACACCTCAAAGACGCAGTGAGAAGCAAGAGTGTTTATCGATTTCTCAACAACGTTGAGGTCGTCGCATCTGAAAAGATGTTTTTTAAACGTCAGCCTGTAAGTGCTAGGATGAATGGGTGAAGGCAGTGTAACAAATTATAAAGTTTACATTAATGAAGCAAAACAATTAAATCAATTCTTTTTAAACTTAAATAATGTTAATTTAAAGTAAAATCGAAAAATATACTTTTATTCACGATGAATATACCTTGGATTATTAATTAAAAATATATTTCTTCCATGATAAACTGATGAAATATACTTACGATGTCCAACTTAGCTACCAGTTTGAATATATACCCTACCGTAGTATTCGATAGCACGAAAATATTTTTCTGAGCATTGGTAGTGAGTTAACCCACTCAACACCTTATGAACATTTTAAGCCTATGCCGTTACTTATGAACGAAATGGAAATTGTGTTTGCACTAGGAAAATGTTGATTTATTTAGGACAACATTCGTATTTATTACAATGTGCTTTAATGTGTTGTACATTCGATAATATTTGCGTACTTAAAATAATTTTAATGATACATTTATGCAATATGTGATTGTTAACAATAATTGACTCAACAAGTTCCTCGTCCATTGCTTCAACTTTATTTAAAATCCAAACGCGGTCACACTCCGAGGGTGGTAGTAGATTTTATCTCTACCACTGCCAAACACTTTGTGTTCAATTGGCTACCGAAGACAATAATAACAAAGGTACAGAGAGAAACAAATATAAATAAAAGCACCTAAAACTAACACTTGAATTTTTAACCAGAAAAAATAAAATTATGAGGACGAAGTTTTACTGAAATGAGCAATTGTGAAGTAATTAATGCCGCATCCAATTATTTCTGGGAGCATCGCAGTACCCTCCCCGAATTCTCTGAAAAATAGCTTAACCCGGCCTTGCAACAGACTGTAATTAATTTCTTGCCTCGGCTTTTCTTTCTTCCACGGAAATGTTTCAACTAATTTCTACAGACTTCATTTTGCCAACTGCTTCTTTCCTTTTATATCTTGCCGATTACTCTCCAACTACACATCAGCAAATACTAGTACACCACCGTCGCGTATTTTCATGGTGGTTTCCAATAGTCATTTCCTGACGAATGCCGGATCAGTAGTCTGACAAACAGAATACGTTTGCTCGGATCGGCAACCACGTCCGATTCACCCAGTCCGGTTTGCGTGCTCGGGGCAGAACAGTTACATTATCTGGTTGTTCTACCCAAGTTTGCGGGTTCAAACGCAAATTTTGCTGTAGATTTTTAAGGGAGAAAAATCCTTCGTACGCCTTCCTTCGGAGAGGAAGTAAAGCCGGCTGCCCCATGTTGTAGATTTACAGCACAAAAAAGATCATCAAGCCCAAAAGAAGCCTCTGAGCTGAACTCATAATCGCCTATTTCACCCGAATAACTTCTTTGTTTACTTGACGGTGAAAAGAGCGTAGCAAAATTTGCGTGGTCAGACGGAAGAGTAGGTCTGAAGGTTCGAGCTTCACAACGTAAAAATAAAGCAATAACTAAATTTTAAAAACTAAACTTTGCACACCAATATCCTTTCAAACTTTAAGTTCATGATATCTGTAAATTTGTTTTCACAGCCCACGACAAATGCTTTTCCAAGTATTTTTCATTCAAATGTATGTTTTACTTTGTGAACGTACCTGAATCACACAACGTACGCGTCAAATTCAAGTGCAGCAAAGCTTTCTGTTTGTCAATAAAAACTGCGAACTTCTGACTTCTCTAACAACATTAATACAGTTCCTTTTTATATTCGAGGGGGCATTTATTGAATTCATGTATTTATTGTTAATTTCCACGACGGTTGTTTATATCTTATCATTGACTTCATTATTATTTTTACTTTGCTCAATTACCTACATCGCTAACTTCTATATTCAAAAATGCATAATTTTACACACATTTCTCATGTCTTTTGAAAACCTGAAACCAATTTTGTACTCGCAAAAATTGAATAGAAACCAGCATGGACTATTTCTTTCATCCAGACCTACTACTTATAATAATTTCATCAACATAATTACCTTCGCGTTTGCCATCTATTTCTGCAATACACCACAGTTTCTCAAATGACGCAACAAAATTAACTGATTGAATACTTTGTGTTTCCGAGTGCGCTAACTGCTATGGTCATTAGTCCCGTAGATGTAGTATATGTTTTATTGCGATGTGATTGTGATCTCCCCTCTCTGGAAAGTGAATTCCGGCTTCGACCTATACGTCAGCTTGCGGGGTTTACCTTAACCAGGTATCTCCCACCAGAGGAGATTCGCCACAGCCAGAACAAGCTCTAACCTCCCGATGGGTGTCTCGGCATGTGTAGTAATGTAATGCACGTAAGTATAAATTTGTGTAGGGGGAATTGGACTAGGCAGAGGAAGGAAACATCGCGCGCTGTCCGTAGCCCGTTTGTTGAGTACTGCTCCGGCATTCATCTAGATTTGATCGGAGAAAACTACCGATCAGAGCATCCGGGCGCTAGAACTCTCCTCCAGACAGCGCCTGAAATCGACTTAGCTATGTAGCTAGTGTCGAAAACCCTGCTCCAATACAGCGAACGAACAAACCCCGAAAAAGGGGGATGCAATGAATAACCACAGGCGCCAGAAAGTCGGCAACTTTTGTCTAAACGCGGTGATGAATACAAGAAAAACTTTTGAACGCCCAATTTTACGGGCAGGTCTTTTGTGCGCGCGTCGTCAATCCGGCGCCCGGCACCCCGCGCCCACGGGGGTGGCCGGGGGGCGGCCGCCGCACAGCGCGACAACCGCCATAACTCGCTGTCGGCCGCAGGAGGCGCGAAGCGGCCGCCTCCGCCTCCGCGGCCGTCGCGGCCGCGCGTGTTCACAAATTGTACTCGCAAATGTTATGACTACCGCCTGATTGGTTCGCAGCTAGTTGTTGCGCACGCGCGGCCCACGCACACACACGCACACACACTCAGCAAACAAGATCCGGCGCCACTTCGCGCATAAATCCCGATGAACAGTTAAATCTCCAGAGGAGGCGGGAGGGGAGACAAATTGCGTAGGCCTCGCGGGTGTTATCATTTAGTGTTGAATGGAGAAACTGACGTTTTAATATGTTGGAGCTTCAACGTGTTAATATACGCGTTTTAAATATAACAATGAATTAAATAAAGCGTGTTTGATAAAATAATAGTGTACGGTGCTTTAAATATTTAAATGGTTCCATTGAGCAGTTACACAAAAAATTACTACACTGATATAAAAAGGCAGGCATTGTCACTCACTGATTTGAATTGTATATTCCAGCGTTGTCTGCCAGATTAAATGGTGTCTTGAAGATTCGTATCTGGGTACTGAAAAACAGACAAAAATCCAAGTTAATTAGGATGAAGCACAGGAAGATATGCCATTCTAGTTTGAGAAATTTTTTAACTGCATTATCAAAAAATAACTTAATGTCAGAAGAAAAAAGTTATTTATAGTGCATGAAAAGAGACTTCATCATTAAAGGGCTACGAATTATTGTATTGTTACATAATTAATCATAATAACTAACTACGGCCCTGATCAGTTTAATGATTCCACTACCCTTCTTTTACTTATTACACCTTCGTGTCTCCCACTAGATCATTATTGGAAATGTAAATTTTTGTCACAAACAAAACAGTAAGTTACGCCCAATACACAGCTCACTGCTTTCAAAGTGTTGTATGTAAGATCATTTATCACTCCAACTTTTAAAAAACTTAGCGAATTTTTTGTTCTACTGAAATCCTGACGCCGTATGATAAAAAAACGTATGTTTTTGAAACGATTAAAATTCATAACGTTATTAATGAACTTACGCCTGGAAGTTCGCGCGAGGTTAAACGAGACGCAAATAAAGCGGAGTGATGTTTTTATGATCTCTTCAGGTAATATACAACCGAATGGCCACGACATGAAAAAGCCATTTCTATGCGCGCTAAGACCAACACTGCCTGAGGGATCACCAGCAACATACATACGATTTTTTTTATGTGAATCCCTTCACCACTGGCAACTCAATGGCACGTCAGTTGTGCAGAGTTTTGGGACGTGTCATAGCACATTATGTAAAGAAACACGTTTCTGATTTCAATTTTCTGGGGTTAAACTGCCCACCCATAATAGATTTGTCGGCACTAAGGTTGATTATTTCCTTTTCGCACCTGCTACTTTCATTACTCTCGTTAGCATAGTACACATTCTATCACGGGAGATGGCTGTGTCCCTCTCACTCCGGCTCGTGAGATACAGCGCCGACCTCCACGTCGGCTGGCGGGTCGTTTCCAATGTTGAGGTACTTCCGTCAGCGGGACACCGTCCCAACTGAGACAAGTTCTGTGCTCTCGACTAGTCTCCGGACATGCGTGGAGGTAACGTAATTCATGTAAGGGAAAGGGAGCGTGTGTAGGGGGAGGAGAGAGAGAGAAAAGAGGAAGAACAGGAGTATGTAAGTAAGGGCAGGTTGACGAAGTAATATCACGTACGGTTCGTGGCCCATTTGTTTGGGTGTTGCTTCGGCTTTTGCCGGGTATTTATCAGAGAAACCAAGGAAAACTACCGATTAGAGCGGTCGGCCGCTAGAATTCTCATCCAGCCTTCATTGAGATGGGTACTTGGCTGTTCGAGTGGAGCCGCGGCTCAGTTGATTGAACTGACGTTTCGGTCATCGTGTTCTGGCCTTTTTCAGAGCTGTCCTGCTGATTAATATGGGGTTCTAACAATAAATATTAGTACCGGAATGTTTGTGTGCCGGCGGACAGTCACAACGGACGGAGACACAAACAGATAAAGACAGGCATGCAAATACACAGAAGCAGACATACAGACAGAAACGAACAGACATACAGACAAACAAACAGACATACAAACAAACAAACAGAAATACAAACAAACAAGCATACAACCAAACAGACATACAGACAGTTAGACAAACATAAGCAGATATACAAAGAAACACAAACAGATAGACAAACAGACCTCAATAGATAGACAAACAGACATCAATAGATAGACAAACAGACATCAATAGATAGACAAACAGACAGAGACGAGGAGGGGGAGACGGACAGACTGACGATGGATGTACGTTTTGTCACAAACCCAACTTTTCAGTTTCGACGACTCGCAAAACGAAAAAATCCAACGTATTAGAGGAAATTATTTACAACCAAACATTATATTACTGATCGTGACTTCTTATTCTGGGATATGCTAAAGGAAAAGGTGTATTTAATGAAAATCTCAGATACGACCCATTTCATTTGATGTACGCAGTGTGAATGTTGTTTCACTGAACACAGCGGATCGCCCTGTAGGACGCATTCATAATGA